TGTTTGGTTAGAAGTTGAAGTTTGGGAGGTCTGCCCATCTTAAGCATCTTTGGAGATCTGTGATGTTGGCAGAGACCTGATCACATGATGGGCTCAAAAATAAAGGCTGGCAAATCTCATCCCAGCTCATTGCCAGGACTCTGGATTGATGATTTCACCCGTGAACTAAGACTTTCCACAGAGTGCACTTTTACTGTTCCTATGATAACAAACCAATGAAAACAATCAAACCTCATACACTCAAAAAGGGATGGGAAAATTTTCTCTTTTCAGCTCCCCCATGTGCCTCAAGAAGCAGAAATGCTTTTTGATTTGCTGGTGAGAAGCGGGGTTACTTTAAAGGACTCTGAGTACAGATGTTTAGTGCATGACTAAGGGTTCATGTATATGCACACATATTCAACAAGTATTTATTCTGCACTCATGCGGCCAGGCACTGTGTTAGGCAGTGCCTACCTCATTGAGAGACTATTCTCTGTGAGTCTTTCATATTTCTTACAACTTTTGAGTGAAGCATGAGCTGCTTTTTGTTCTGGGCAATCTTTTCTTGGATGTTCATACAGTGAGCAGCCCTGGAAGATGGAGACAGTTCCTCCAGAACAGAAGGCAGGCACCTTACTGCCCATCAACCAAGACGCTGGTTCTCTTAGCTCAGGGTTCCTCTTCTGGAATTCAACCCACCTTATGGGCAAACATCTACTTGGCTATCTCAGTTGCTCACTAGGACAAGGAGGACAGAAGCAAATATGCTGATGTCCATGCTTGTACTGTGCTGTGAGTGATAAAGCCTCTCTCCCTGACCAAGAAGTCCATGTCTTTTGTCAGCATTCATGAAAGTGTCACATGCTGACTTGTTAACTCGCAAGGAGGAAAAATCTCCATGCCTTCAAAGTTACTGACAAGCTTATATCCTTATTGAATTTTATATTCAAAATACCTTACGATTCAAAGATTTTATTTTCATTTTGTTCATTCTGTTTTCTGAAACAGAAAAGTTAGGTCACTCTTCCTAGGTCACAGAGCTAGTTTATGCCAGATGGGAGATTTTTGTTCAACTCTGTCTGATGCCAGAACCATCCTTTTTTCCATGACGCGTGGACATGTTAAATTACAAACATGAAAGTGCCTGCAGTTCTATTTGTGGCGCTGGGCCAGGTAAAATCCTGTTGGTCCCAAAATCATCCTCGTTGCTATGATGATAAAAAACCTCAGGCAAAAAAGTGGAAAACATCTGAGCAGCATCTCCTCCAAAGGAACATAAACAGGATGCAATCATCAGGAGTTCCTTCCACTAAGGAAAAATTTCTTTTCTCATATTCACATGACAGTTGGCTCAAAGCCTGACCTACTACCTTGTTCTCTGGTGAAAGAATGAGGTCTCTTTCCCAGAAAGCAGCAGGATGAGCGTCATGTGAAATCCAGACTACTAAAGGATGGGGAAGCTGGAGTAAGGGGTGTGCTCCATGACCAGGGATGTCTACGCCCCACCATGATAAGCTGTTAGAAGCTCCCTTGTACATTTTCACAGTACATTTCCATCTTGAGTCCTGTTTAACTTGATCGTTGCATATCCTTATGATAGAGATTGACCTGTTCCTCTAGGGACTCCCTATGACTTGTAGGACAGCCTCATTTCTTAGTCAGGGGCCCAACATACTCTGTGGTCAAGCCCTAGTCCGCTGTGAGATGACCCAGGCCTCCCTTCCTCTCTGAAGCCTCCCCTAAGTCCACCTTATCCCCCAGGTAGAACTGCCTCTCCCTCCTTGGTGTTCCACACTGATCTGTGTCACTTCTCTCATAGCATCTATATTACTTTAGGACGGTGTACTTCACATGTTTACCTTCTCACCAAGCACAGACCCCTTGAGATAGGTCCTGTTGTATTCAGCAAGGTCATCCCCACATTCAGATTAGTACATAATACGTGTGTGGATTGCAGCTGTATAATCAGACACATAGGTACATGATCTGTCTCTGGATCTGAAAATTCATCATTAAATATTCTTGTTTTGGGATTGAGTACTTTCTTAAGGCACAAATCATCCAAGATGAGTCAGTACAGATATTCTGACATAATGTCATCTAGCTGATCATTTTCTTCTTTGATAAAAATGATTGGATGGCCATTTTCCTGGGAGCTTGAGGTGCAGATGAGGTATGATTGATCTGAAAGCACTTGGCATTTTTATCCTGCTAACCATCCTGGTAAGGACCAACAACCCAGGACTCCATTTGGACACCAACTCCCATCACTCAGAGCTGCCTCTGTTTCCAGACTAGCCCTCATGGGAATGGGCTTATTGGCACAGGAGCCCAGGTCACTACTGCCCAGGCTTTCTTGATGGAAGAGACCTGGTCTTGGATGCTCTGACCCCAGAATTGGGTCATTCCAGCAGCCCTGAGTCCTGGTGCACCTGATCTGCTCCCATGAAGAGCTCCCATGGATTCACCTCAGCCTGTGGAATGAAGGAAACTCCTCTCTCCAGCCTGCTGGTGTTTTGGGCCTAAGAAGCTGTGCGACCTCTAACAAGTCCTTCAGTCTTTCTAAGCCTGTTTCCACAGGTCTAAAGGGAGGATGAGGCCAGCCACCTGTGAGGGTTACTGAAAGGATTAAAGGTGGAACCATGTGCAAAGAGCTAGGATTTCACAGAGAGTGCTAGTTCCCCTTCCTTCTCCTTCCAGCTGCCTGCTCCCCAACTCTCTCTTTTTATCTTCCCCTCTTCCTTTCCTCTCCACTTCCCTCCTTTCTCCTTCAGAGGTCTTGGAGATTTTATATGAGCATTGTTGTGCATGTGTGTCCCAGTGCACACCTGTTGTAGGCATGCTGAAAAAAACTTCAGTGCACTGTTGAGGAGGAATCAAAGATGAGGAAAGTGTGCTCCCTGACCTGAGGGGAGGGGGCACCATTTACTTGCACACCAGTGTGTTTTGAATGCCCGTGTGTGTGTGTGTGTGCGTGTGTGTGTGTGTGTGTGTGTGCATGCACACACAAACATGCTCGTGTATGGACATGCACATCATCTAAGTTACTCTACTCATGTGTAGAGCAACTACCATGTGTGGTGGCCTTGCTTCTGCAGTTAGCCTTTGCCAGCTCCCTCCTGGATGGCATCTGGACTGGCCACCTTGGACAATCTGACCTTGCAGCTTCCATGTCACAATGCATCTGACTCTGGCTGGGACTGGGGACCCAGTGGACTGGGAGCAGGCTGTGCTTCCATACAGTTTTCCAGGACACTGGATAGGCAAGAGGGTGAGGACTAGGGGAAGTGAGGAAGACAAGGTGAGGGGCCAAGGAGCCCAGCTTCCATAAGCCAGTTTTCAGAAAATAGTCAGTTCAGAGGGCTGCTGGACCAGGTGAGGGAGGGAGGAGCGACCAGTATTCCTCTTCCCCACAAAGGCACCAGCCCTCAAGGAGGCCCAGGGGCTCTGGGGTCATCCTCTCCCTGGAGTCTTTTTAAAAGCAAGGCATGTCTGTGTGAGGGTTCTGGGTGTCTCCTCTGTGCCCACTGGACAGTGATCTGTGCTTACAATCCTTGAAGATGAGGCCGTATACCCACTTATTCTCAAAAACCTGAAGTGATATCAAAAAAGGAAGGAATGTTAGAAGTCTTTTAGCGCTTCCCAAACGTGTTCTGAGGAACTATGGGCCCACAAATTTGAAGTAGGTATTTTCGAAAGAGATGGGGTCTCTGGCCAAATACACTAGGGGAATGCTTCATTAATCTCCCTATCCCTACCCCCCGAGTTGCAGCACACACTGGAACACTAAAGGTGTTGGGAAGACTTGCATTGCTTTAACTCGGCTCAATATGTCATTTTCCAAACCTATTTGCACATGGAGCACCCTCTGTGTTTGGGCTGTTTATCACCATTTTACTTAGCTGTGTTCTATGGATCAGAGTTTGGGGCATACGGATATAGCCAAACTCTTCATTTTAGACAGTGGAGGGTCAGCGAGCTCAGGTCACCCAAGGAACGGTCTCACCTTTTGGCCAGGTTCTATCCCCTGCTTCTTTTCTTCTGACTCTCTCCCTCATGATAGCCCTATAGCTCCCAGCTCCTTTGGTTGGTGACCATTCCTGACTGAGTTTGGATCCCATTTTCTGCCTAGGGAGAGGGACCAGGGATCTTTTTGCTGACTTCCAGCAACTTTCAGAAACCTGAGCTCTAGGGAGTTCCTGGCAGCCAGGCTGCAGTCTTCACTCTTGGAGCTGATGGTCTCTGGGTGGTTGCTGAGCTGCTAGAGGTCTTAGAGAGATTCTTATGAAAGAGGATGGTTAGTAAGTTCATATTCCTTCTCTGCTACTCATTTTAAATTATGGTTACTGCTCAAGAAGCATATAGAAGTGGTGCAATGAGGCACTTTTGTTAACCAATACATAGACACTATATATTCCGAAACACTTATCGATGTCAGAAGACAGCAGTGAGCATTTGGCACATTTGTTCCTGTAATCAACCCTGAGAGTTGGTACCGTGGAGGCACATCCACTAGAGGGATAAGAACGTTGAAGCCAGACAGGTCAAGCAAGCTGACCAAGGTTCCAGGACCAAGAAAGGAGAGTCAAGGCCCAAATCAAGGGAGGGAAGCTCTGCAATCTGTGCTCCAGCCACTGTCACGGGAAGGACGGGGTTCACTCATATTTGTTTAACAGGTCCATGTTTTCTAATACTGTGCATTAGAGAATCAATGCTTCAGTCAGTGCCTTGGTGGCTGGGACAACCTATTTCTAGAGGGACATTTCACCTTTACATTTGTTTCATGAAGCTGGTGCCTGTGTGGGGGAAAAATTGCTAGTCACTGGTCCCTCCCTCTCTTGGCGGGCCCAGGAGGCCTCGGTGTTGGGGTCTGGCAGTAGAGTCAGAAGTGGGCAATCCAGCCCCACGCATGCACACACACTATCAGAGACACACAGTCACATCAGTGAAAAGCCAGTCCTGGGAGGAGTTTATTCCTCCTGAGAGACAATTATAGTAGTGCTGTTTGACTCTGAGTGCTCAGTTACGTTTCAGATTTATTTCCAATCACTTAGAGCTGGATCAACAAGAGACAAAGGTACCTTTAGCTCTGTCCCTTGCTATTCTTCCAAATGTCAAGGACTGACATTTGATGCCATTGTCCCCAGTCAGCCTACTGATGACTCACTTTCTTGCTTCCCCTGCTCCCAGGCCCACCTGCACCATTCACACCCAGCAATTACTTTCATATCATACTGATGACAAACTGCACTGCCCAGGAGGACACTTTCTCCCTCTGGTAGAGCAAACATTGGCCTCCTGGATGGTTACTGCATCCTTGGGTCCCTGGGAGAGGCCTCTCTTGGCTTTACTCCTCTATTCCTCCCAGCTCCCTGGCCCGGCACCCGGTGTTCCCAGGACAAGTGCCTATCTTGGGCTGAGAAGGGTGCTCTCGCAGTCTGCTTGGTGGGGCAGGTGGCAGAGTGAAGTCATGGAGTCAGAGGCGGCTTTGGGGGTGATGAGGCCTGGTGTCCTTTAGATAAAGTACTCCTTTCTGCTGCTGTCACCGGTCTCTTGGAGGGACGGGTCCCCCTGCAAGGCTGCGTCTGCACTCTCAGCGAACTCCGTGCCCTTGGCCTCATTGGTGTGGTAAGTGCCCTTGTGCCTGTACATGTAGTGTAGCATGAGAAGGAGGAGGCTGACCAGGACGAAGGCCACGGTGGTGATCACACCTGCAGGTAGGAAGAAATGCACAGCTCTTTTTGGAACTGGAGCAGGGTATCAGGACACACAGGGGTGGTGCCAGGACAGACACGTTGCTACGACAAACACTAACCCCAGATGGCTGGCTCATTCCTGCCGCTCTTCTCCCTGCCCTGTGTGTGCTCACCTCTCAACTGCACCCATTTGAGTTACCCCTTCTCTCCCCTCTTCTCTTCTCCTTCTCCTGCACTCAACACTTTGCAGACCAAGGCTGGAAGAGTCTCTCAGACTTTATCCCTCCTCGGGAGAAGGCACTCAGTGCATTGAGCAAGACAGACCTATGTGCATGATTTCTATAATATAACTATG